TGTGTGTGTGTGTATATATATATATATATATATAATCTTTTTTGGTCATCTTTTAAGGACTTTGACATACTCGTCATTCATTTCAAAGTCATCAGCAATTCTGGTTTCGTTTCACGAGGGCGGTACTTCGAGCCCAGCTAGCTGCCCCGCAGAAGGACGGAGGCCATCTGCTCCTGTAGCGCGCGTCGGAGGCGCTACACAGGGTCCTGTCAGTCTGAACTGACAGGATGGCAGCAGGCTTGAGCTCTATCTGCACAGTCCGTGCTGCTTAGAATCGTCTCACGGTGGCTTCTGTATGTGGCTCATTATCGGAGAAGCTTTATGAGCCATTCAGTGTGAATCTCCTATTGGGCACAAAGCTGATTATCAAATGTCCTCTAACCTACAGAAGTTCGTGATCATGAGAATGTTCTGTACCTGTGCTGTCCTGTACGTCGATCACTCGTCCCCTGTGGCTACTGAGCTCTACACGAGGCTAGCTGAGCTGAATTCTTAAGTCGATCTCAACTTACAGTGACCCTGTGGGCAAGCAGAAAATGCTCCCCAGGGTTCCCAAGGCCTTAAATCTTCATAGCAGTGGACTGCCCACCGGCCAGGGGTTAACCCTTCCTATACTGGTCCCACTTGGCACGACACAGAGCACGCCTTCCATAAACACGCAGTGAGCACTTAGACCCTCGCTCACTGGTGCAGGCGCTAGACAACTGGCAGTGAGCGACACAGCCCCTTCCCAAGGGGCTTAAATTCTCACGGGAACACTGACTCTACATAACGTGGCACAGGCCCAATGCTAGAAAAAGCAGTCAGCTACATGGACAGTGCTGGGCAGGCAACTATGACCTGATGGGAAGCCTGTCAGACTCGGGGATGTCCCAGGCGTGTGGGCTGGGTTCAGGGCACTGCAGGAAAGCAAGTCACAAGAAGCTTTTTGGTTTTCCCAGAGCGTGTAAACGTCATGTTTTATGCCACAGTGGCTCAGTCTATGAACTGTGTCGGAGTGTTGTGAAATCCTGTGAGAACTACCAAACTGGCAGACGCGAGGAGCTGCAGCTGCTGGGAACACACCGGTGTGGGCACACTGGCTCACAAGCAGCAGCACTGCAAACCTTCAGGCTGTGGGGGAGAAAAGCACAATGAAGAGGGCATGCCTGCCTCTCTGAGGAAAGATGTTTTGAGCACAGGGGAAGCTCTGTGCGCTGATCCCCTTTGACCTGACGTTTGAAATTCTGGGACGTAAAGTCTGGGTCTTTGGTGGGGGGACTTTGATACTGCCCCCAAGGTAAGTTCAAGTCTTGCCTTCCTGCACCTGTGAACCGTGTCATTTGTCTTTGCGAATGTACTTCGTTAGCATGGGGTCATTCTGGAGTAGCGGAGGCCCGGCACGCCACCATGACTATTGGAACAGGAGAAGAGACACAGGCCGGTGCCCAGGAACATGGCCATAGCTCCCTCCGCAGCCCTCTGGGAAATTTACAGTTCCTGGTTTCGCTTTGATCCAGTCCAAGCAGAGCATGCAGTGAACGTTTCCTGTGTAACAAAAACCTTTATTTCAGGAGTACCAAAGCACGACTTGACCACAACTTTCCTTAGGCAATATTTTCAGAGAACTCGTGGGCACAGAACAGAATAGACGTGGTGTTTACTGACGCTTAGAGGGCAGTAGACGTCTAAAGTCATTTTCCACTAAGAGACCTGCTTGCAGTGGGGGGATGGAAAAGAAAAGACTCTTTAGACTTGATCTTGGGCTAGGAGTTTTAATGGAAAACACCGGAGGTTCACTCACTGACTTTGATGGTTAAACTGTACTGTGCAGTATGTGGTTTTTATTCTATTTATGTAGACCTGAAAGAAACCACACATTTGAGTTTTCTGTTCTCTGTTTCAAAGCAAGATTATGAAGCAATGGGCAAAAAAGTATTTACAAGTCAAACCCAGGGAGCTAGGAGTGAGAATGTTAAAGCCTGTCTACACGCAGCTGTGTCTTAAGAACACCGGCGCTTCTTAAACTCATGTTCTGGGTAGAAAAGCAATTTAGCTCATTCATCCACTGCCACAGTGAAGCGGAACCACAAAGACCTTAGTTATTTTTAGCATGCCTCTTGATTTTCCTGTCCCCCGGTTTCTTGTCTTCTGTTCCTGAATCTTGAACAGGTAACCACTTGAGGGGATGCCGGCGATAGATGGGCCACGGAGGCAGAGTCAGCTGGCGGGAGAGAGAGAAATCAGTGACAGCCATCCCAGGCTTGGCATATAAACCCTGGTTCCCAGGGGAGTCCTAGGTTAGAGGTGAAAAGCACACAGACCTATTTCCACCCCTATGGAAGCCCTGCCACTGTTCAGACGGGACACTATAAATGATGGAAACATGCCGCTCTTTCAATGTGGGTGAGACTGCATCCCAGGGGGCGGGGGCCGCATTGGAATGATCCAGGGGCCTGCAAAAATGACACCCACACTTTATCCTGGGTTGTGGGCTATCGTACCAAAGTTTTTAATGGCCAGGGCAACCTAATTTCTTTTGCTGTACAGGGGCAGTAGACCAAGTAAGTTTGGGAACTGCCATTAAGTGAATAGCTGTAGCAGCTCCAAAAAAGGCAGGGGCAACGTGAA